ATCCGCGTTCAAGGGCCGTCGACCGTTCGTCCCGGGTCGCCCCCAGGGCGGGCCCGGCGGCGGACTCCTTGCATGGGGGGTCTCCGAGCGGTGGCGCGGCGCGCCTGCGGGGTGGTTTCGAAGGCCGCGCCTCTGGCGGGCTCCTCCACGGCGCGGGCCCCATTCCTTCCATCGGGGGCCCCGCCCTTCCGCCGCGCGAGGTGGCGGGGAGTTAGGCGGGACGCGGGGCACCGAGCGCGGAAGCCCGAGGTAGGCCGTCGACACCGCGCCCCACGGCCTTCGAGCGCACGCGAGCGGCGAGCGGCGGTGGAGGCGTCGCAGAGAAGGGAAAATAAGGATCTAGGAGAGCAGGCGGTCGGGCCTTCGACGATGGCAACGTTCGGGGTAGGGGTGGGGGAGCGCCGCCCCCCTCTCACTTTTGGGTCTTTTATATCCCCGCCGGTTTTACTGCCGACTCGTTCATCAAGTCCCTTGGAGTGTCAAGTGCCCTTTGCATAGGGCCCCAGCACCGTCTCTCGTAAAAGAGACCGCCGTCACCTCATTCGCCTCCCTTGTACCGCCATCGCCCCCTGTTATGGGCGCTGCGAGGACGCGCCCCGTGCGCCAACATGATTGTGCATCCTTTTATTTGCCTGACGTCTGTGACCGCGGATACGCCCCCGTGCGCCAACACGAAAGTTCATCTTCGTCCGTGCCCGACGTCGGTGACTATTTGGTATCAGGCGCCCTGTCGTTTTGGAATAACCCCCCACAAGTACCCCGGGGCATGGAGCTCCTGGGAGTGGCGGGCTCCTTGCGTACAGGGCCCCGGGCACCGCCAGCCGTAAAATGAGTTCGACAGTACGTCGCAGGCGGGCCAAGCATCCGTCCAGTTCGGAATGGGACCCAATAGCTCCGGTCCTCGTTCGCGGTCCAAGTCATCATTCTGACCTTGTCGTTTTGGTCGAGACCCACCTCAGACCAGAATCTGTGCCGCCGATTCGGCGAAATTCTGTCAAATATGATACGATACTGCATCCCAGTGGCGCGGAGGACTTTCCCGAAGTCGGAATACGGCTCTCGCGGAGGCGAGATGATCACGGTGAATCGCCATTTGAGCCCGCGTCGTGGGACACGCTACGCCCGCGGAGCGCGTCACTGGAAGAGGGTTCGCTGGGTGCCTGGAACCATGCTCAGGGGCGCCAGTGGCAATAAAGACACGTCGACGGCCAACGTCGTCCGACACTGATTGGAACATGACCTCGCGGAGCTGGAGGTATCCGACGCGCTTCCCTTCAGGGGCGGGGCCGTGACCAACTCTTGCCATGCCGCCTTCGCTGTCGTATCTGGCATTGTTCTACGTGTGTTCGCACCAGATGTCGTAACAATTCGTTCGGTTCCCTAGCATTATGATGGCACCAGTGGTGGGGGCGATGGTGGCGAAGACGAATGCAATGACGATGATAGTGACGGTGATGGTGGTTGTGATGGTGAGGCAAGGAAGCATGCATGATGGTTGTGTTGTTGCGGGGTGTGCGTACTGCGTAAGCAACACAATCGGGACGACAGGGAAATAAAGCGTGAGCGAAGCAGACAGCCGAACTGAGAGGCTCGCATTATCTTGTGACATTTGTCCAGTGCGCCGGTTTGTGCACGCAGCAGTGGTATGACGCATCACAATCTCGTCACCTCGTCCTTGAGTGGCGTTCGCGCTCATCTACCGCACTGGCGCATCCATTCAACTGGCACGCTTCAGTGCTACGCATCTGCGACTTTCTATACACACCGTCTCCGCTGACGCCACACGCCAGAGCGTCTACAGCCGCCCAACCCCGTGTCACGACCTGCGGCCCTGCCACATGCAGCCAAGTGCGCGCGCTTGGTTTAGCTTGTGGCAGGCGTTGTTCTTGCCATACTTCTGCACGTTCCCTGCAGCTCCGTTACTTATTCTTTTCCTCCTCCGCCTCCTCCTCCTCCTCCTCCTCCTCCTCCTCCTCCTCCCCGTTCCTCCTCCTCCTCCTCCTCCCCGTTCCTCCAACCGCCTCGCCTGCCCCCCCCCCCACCGCACCGCAGGAGCTGCAGACTCAGGCGGCCGCGCCGATCCAGGCGGACGCGCCGAAGTCGATGGCGGAGCGGAGGGCGTCTGGCGTGGCCGTTGCTCATTTCGATTCCACCGATTCGATCCGATCCGATTTTGCTGGCTTCTGGTTCCGATCAGATTCGATTTCGGAGCCGGAATTCGGGTTTCGAGTTCTCAGTGGAGGCCTATTGGCTTGCCGATTTATGCCGATGCGACTTTTCTCTACAGTCGGCCCGGATTAGTAGGTCGACCCTGCCAGCTCAAGGGTACCCTTGTGTCCTGTGCCTCGCGACACCTGCCTTCTCACACTCCTGAGGCGATGTGGCCCTCGGAAGGGTCTTATGTCCTGTCGCGTGTCCTGTCCAATCAAGGCCGACTGTACTCGGCTGCCGATGTCCGCCGATGCGATTCGTTTCGATCGAGTATATATATGCGATTCTAGGCTCGCCTGCCAACGTGGTGGCCGTGGCGCCCCCCGCCAGGCTTCCCCGGAACCAGTGCGGCGTTGTTGGCCCTCGGGCAGAGCAGCGTTACTCAGGAGAGAAAAAACACACAGACACACTTCATCGTCGATTCCCCAGAAAATGTGGGAAACTATGGGAAGTGAGGGGGAAGACAGAAACCCAGAAAATATCTGAAAATATGGGGAGCCATGTTATTTGTGTTTTTTTTTTTGTGTGTGTGTGTGTGTGTGTGTCCTGGGGCCCCTTCAGTTGCACTCGGAGCAGCGAGCCTCGGCGCTCCGGTTGGCTTCCCGCGGGCTGGGCCGAGGCCTGCATGTTGGGCCTACGAGGCGGCTGAGCGCAGGCCGCCCCCCCCCGCCAAAGGCCTGAGATTCAAGGGCAGACAAAAACGCCCCTACCCTGCCAGGCCTTGAGGAGGAGGAGGAGGAGGAGGAGGAGGAGGAGGAGGGAGGAGGAAGAGGAGGAGGAGGAGGAAGAAGAAATATCACAGGCCTTGAATCACAGGCCTTGAATCACTCGAGTTTACGAGGCGCTGTGCTCTGAAACTCCTGTGGGCTGACAGGGTAAACCCTGCGCAATGTGCCGCGTCCTGGCGGCTCCAGGCTTTGGGGGTTCCCAGGAGGTTCACAGACCACGCACTTGTAACCCAGGGTAGGGTCGTTTTTTCATCCCTCAAGAGATGAAGAGCAGTCGCTCCAGAGCGGTGCGAAACAGCTTCAGCGCGTCACCGAGCGTTGTGGATCGGCTGCGGCGCCCAACACATTTTTCCCAGAGTCGATGGCCCTCGCAGAGACCCCCGAAAGATCCCGCCCCGATCCTGTCTTTGTCGTGACTTCGTCTACCACTCCCCCTTCTTTTTTTCCGCCCTCCCTCCTGCGCCGCTTGCGCTTTGAAGACCGCCGTGTCGTCCCAGCGACCGCCCTCTTCGGGTCGTTGTCTTGATCAAGCGGCTTCCCTGTCGCTTAGACAGAGAGAAGATAGGAGGAGGAGGAGGAGGAGGAGGAGGAGGAGGGGTCCTTCTCCCGTTCTCGACGGGCCCTCCTGGGGAGGACATCCAGCAGAAGATGGAGAACATCGAGAGAGAAACCCTAGAGAAGGCTGCCCCTCCGGCGCCGAAGCCGAAAGGAACGGCCCGGCTTTCTCTTTGAAGGGAGTTGAGCAGCAGCATGTGGTGCAGACTGTGTAGTCGGGTTCTCGTTAGATCCGCAGCGCCGCGCGTCTTGTCTCGTCTCCTCTCCTCTTACTTCCCCCCTCCCCCGCCTGCGGCTGCTCTCCGCGCGTCCATTTCGGCACACCCTCACACCTTTCGAGCCCCACGGGGAGCTCGACCTACGGCTTCAGTAGCTGCGCCTTAACGGCGCACCCGCCTTCCGTTTCGGCACACCTCTCACACTTGGACAGTGGGAAACCGACCCCAGCCCCCGCAACTATGGATTTTACATGTCAGCGTTTTGCATTCACGGCGAACGAGCGTAAGTGTAGGCGCCCTGTCGGCCAGCTGCCGCAGGCGTTTGTCATGCGTTCAACAAGGATCGTGCCCCAGCCTTACGGCCTCAGTGGCCGTGCCCGCATGGTGTATTTGCTTACAGTATCGGCACATCCTTCAGGAGGATCGTGCCCCACAGGGAGCTGCACCTACGGCCCCAGTGGCTGCGCCAGCATGGCGTATGCACCTTCCATTTTGGCACGCCTTCAGGCGGATCAAATCCCACAGGGAGCAGACCCCCAAGCGGATGTTTTGAATCAAAGTTTCAAGAAGCTGCTCAGGGCTTGGCCATTCGTTCGGATAACTCGTGTGCGAGCGTTTGCCCGCGCGATTCTGCGGAGGATCCGGAACCTCAAACACTGCCAAAGTGCATCCGAGTGGTGGGTTGGTTCTCTCATATATTGAAGGTGACGCATTGTAATCATTGAAGACGCATTTGGAGAACAATTACTTCCCCTTGCCTGTTGGAATCGCCTCTTTGTCTAAACGTTGGGCCGAAATCTTCCCAATCGATCTGAGACGCCTAAGTCGAATCACGGACGCCCCCTGCTTTTGGGAGACGCATACTGTGGCCGAACGTTGCGGCCATAGCTCGGCCAAGCTATCGGACTATGTGTCCCCACAGCAGGTGTGGGAAGCCTTTGGGGAAGGAAGCGAAAGAATAAGAGGAGGAGAGCAATGAACCATGAGGACGAAGGAGACTCTTGGGAGCCTGAAACCTCTTGAGGCTTTGTTTGGGCCTCTTGGGAGCTTCCCCGGGGCCTCTTGGAGGCCACTTTGGGGCGTTCTTGGGCCTCCTAGGTGCCTTTCGAGGCTCCTTGGGAGGCACTTTGGCTGTCTGAGGGCGTTCCTGACCCGACTTGGGCCGTCTTGGAGATCATCTTGAGCGTCTTGGAGGTCTCCTGTGCAGTCTTGGGGACCTCTTGGGACGTCAGGGGGCCATATCGGGGGCCCCCTGGGAGCTCCTGAGTCCATCTCGGTCGCCTCTGGGGTCGTCTGGGCCATCGGAAAGCGGAAAATGCGTAAACCCCACAATCCTTCAACAACCTAGGGATAATGCATGATGTTGGCCTCTTCGGGCCTGCTTGGAGGTCCTCCTGCGCTGTCTTGAGGGCCTCTTGCGCCGTCTTTGGGCGATCCTGGGGCCACCTTTGGGGGCAGTTCGGCCCTCCTGGGACACATCTTGGGGCCACCTGGAGCTCTCGTGGGGGCATCGTAGCCGCCTTGGCGACCATCTTGGCCACCTTGGAGGCCATCTTGGGGCCATCGGAGGTGGGGAGACCGACGACCTGGGAATGCTACGGGTCCTTCTATGAGGCAGAGCCGATATAGGAGACGATGCCTTTCATGCGCCTTGCGGGGTGGCCAGCGGGAGTGGCCGAAGGTCCCCTGGGATCTGCGAATTACAAGTGGCACGCATGCCTTGGCTCTTGCACAACAACGGAGGGGGAAGGAGGAGGAGGAGGAGGAGGAGGAAGGAGGAGGAAGAGGAGGAGTAGAAAGAGGAAGAGGAGGAGGAAGAAGCAGAGAAGGAGGAGCAGGAGGTGGAAAGGGGGGGGGAGAGAGAGGGGACCAGAAATCGAACAAGTCTCGGGGGGGCGGGACGGCGGGGGCGGTGCGACGCAGAAATGAAATGGTCGGAGCGGAGGGGGGGCGGCGTGCACTGGGCGGGCAGGGAGGGGAGAACGATCGTGGGGGCGGGACGGTGGGGGCCGTGCGACGCGGAAGAACACGTTCGTGGCGGAGGGGGCTGTGGGCGGGGCTCCTACTGGAGCGCGGGGGACGCGGGGGGGGTCGGGGTGACTGGGCTGGGCTCCTACCAGGGCGCTGGAGACGCGGGGGGGGAGGGTGGGGGAGGTGGTGTGTGTCGCGACGCGGAATAAAATGGTTGGGGCGGAGGGGGCATTGGGCGGGGCTAGGGGCAGAGGGTCACGGGGCGGGGGTCCGCTGGGGCGCTGGGGACAGGGGGAGGGGGGAGGTGGTGTGCGTCGCGACGCAGAATAAAATTGTCGGGGCGGAGGGGGCAGTGGGCGGAGCTCCCACTGGGGCGCTGGGGACGCGGGGAGGTGGGGGAGGTGGTGTGCGTCACGACGCGGAATAAAGCGTTCGTGGCGGAGGGGGCAGTGGGCGGGGCTCCCGCTGGGGCGCTGGGGACGCAGGGGGGCTCGGGGCAGAGGGCCACGGCGCGGGGATCCCATTCTGGCGCTGGGGACGCGGGGAGGGGGGGGGAAGGGGGTGTGCGACGCGGAATGAAGCGTTCGTAGCGGAGGGGGCAGTGGGCGGAGCTCCCTCTGGGGCGCTGGGGACGCGTGGGGGTTCGGGGCACAGAGCCACGGCGCGGGGGTCCCACTCTGGCACTGGGGGCGCGGGGGGGGGGGGGCGCGCGGAATAAAGTGGCCGGAGCTCTAGACACCTTGTGCAAGAGAATACCAACAACTATCGAACATCGAGCACGCCGTGTGCCACTGTGGCAAGACCACGGTGGGCGGCGGATCGAAGACGCGAAGACGCCTACGGCGAATCACCGCCTCCCCTGCCTTGCGGAAGCGCCTCTGTGACCGGACGTAACGGCCATAGCTATCGGACTAGGTGCTCCCCCCAAGCCGTTATGGAAACCTTTCGGAGAACACGTGGGGAAGAAAGACAAGAGGAGGATAGAACAAGTACTCCAGATTTCGTAATAAAAGGGAGGGGGTCTGGACCCTCCAAGACAAGCCATTTCAGACCTCCCCCGTTGGAGAACCCTCCAAAACATCGCCCCCAGACCCCCCAGGCCCTCCAAGATAGCCTGCAAGAGACCCCCTCCCGAAATGAGACCCCCCTCCCTTTCTTACGAAATCCGGAGGATGTTTGAACGTCGCAGCGCGGCAGAGACGATCCGCACGCGCGTCGGGGCGAAGACGGGGCACCCAGGAGGGGCGGCCGCAGAGAAGAGGGCGGAGCGCGGAGGCACACTCACGCAGCGAAGCTGCGGCAGGTTCCCGGGCGCGGCCGGGCTGAAGGGCAGCCCCTGGCAGCGGCTGCGGGTCGGCGTCGCAGTGCGCCCACACCCGGGGGGGCAGGTCCAGCAGCCTCAGCGCGGGCAGGGCCCAGCAGGCAGAGGAGCGGGAGCAGCCCGCGACCAGAAAAAACCAGGGCGCCGGGAGGGGGCAGCGGCGCACTCGTGTGCTTTGGAGGAGTGTGCATCATGTGCCAGAGGGCTGATGGAGTCTGGTTCACGTACCAAGCGCAGGAGACTCTAGATCCAGCGTTAGATCCAGCTTTGCCGTGTTCATCTGCCAGCGCCTGAGGCGTTTTAGGCTGTGCCGAAAGGAGGAGGAGGAGGAGGAGGAGGAGGAGGAGGAGGAGGAGGAGGAGGAGCAGGAGGAGGAGAAGGAGGAGGAGGGGGGCAGCGGCGCGGGGGCCGGCGGCGGCAATGGGGAGGGGCGGCGGCGCTGCAGCGGCGGCGGGGCACCCGGGGCGGCGGTGGCCAGGCAGGCCGCAGGGGCAGCCAAAAGCGGGGCGGGCGCCGCGGGGAACGGGGGCGAAGGCAGGGGCGCAGGAGAAGATTCGCAGGCCTAGAAGTTGACACCAACACCAAGATCGGCGGTGTGCCTCCACCGCGGGAAGAGAGATCCCGATCTCGGCGATGGTGGTACTATTCTGGCTTCCGAGGTGACCGAAATATTGTCGCCAGCACCGAGTTCTAGGATCGTCTCCACCCTGTGGAGGCAGCCCCGTGTCTTGGTGTTGGTGGCCCTTTTCCAGGCCTCCAAAAGATAGCGCCACTCCGTAGCCGCCGCGCGGCATCTCGGCAAGGAGTGAGGCGCCGCCCAGTGCACGTCGCGCACGGGCGGGGCCCCTTGGGAGGGGAAGGGAGAGAGGACGAGCCCGGCAGGCCGTCGGAGTGGGAATCGGGAGGCAACGTGGGAGGCGAGCCGCAATGGCGGCGGCCCCCAAGCATGGCAGTAAGGGCGCCCTCGGGGGCGCGAAGTTGGTCGCGCTTCGCGGTTCGGCTCCGATTCCTGTTCATCCTCCTCTTCTTCCCTGGGAGGCGGCGCGAGAGCGCGATTCCTGCTCATCCTCCTCTTTTTCCCTGGGAGGCGGCGCGAGAGCGCGAAGTTGCTCGCACTTCGCCTTTCGCGCAGCGCGAAGCGCGAAGTTGGAAGCCCTTGGGCAGCGAGACTGCGGGCAGGGGCACGACCACCTGTGCACGCAGGGGCTGCAAGGCGTCGCCAGCGTGAGCCAGCATGGCGCGCCGCTCGCTTGGCGAGAGCGGTGCGCTGGGGTTGGCGTGCAGACCCAAGGCTGGTGCACGGCATCACGGCCAGGGGCTGGCAGGGAGGGAGGGTCGGGTCGGTAGGCGGGGCCGACGGGTGGGGGGGGCGCAGAGAGAAAGGAACAGGGAGGAGGAGGAGGAGCAGAAGGAGGGGGACTACTACTTCGTTGTTTTCATCTTTCCCCTACGTCCCACTTCTTCCCCAATGAGCCCCCGACCCCTTTTGTGTTCAGACGAGGGGTGCTCGGCTGGACAGGCGGTTGCTGGACTACCTTCATCAACCGTTAGCAGCAGCAGGAGGAGGAGTAGGAGGAGGCCTCTTGGGAGCTTATTCGGGCATCCGTGTTGCCTTTTGGGAGAGACGCCGTCGGAAGCCGTATCTCGGGCCTCCCTTGGTGTGCTGCAGGGCCATCTTGGAGACCATCTTTGGCGTCTGGGAGGTCTCCGGAGCAGCCTTAGGGCCATAAGTGAAGCCTGAGGATTCGAAGGGCCCGAGGGCCTTCCAACTCGTGCCTCAAGGCACGGTGGCAGATCAGATGCGTACCGCGTGGATGATCTGAGAGTCGTCTTTCCGGTTGCCAGAGAGAATACTCATGTGAATGAAGGCACAGAGCCGTCGACACAGACCAATGGCGCACCCAGAGCATCTTGCGCATCCGGCGCGCCATGACCTATGGGGCTGCATGTTGGTTGCGCGGTGCAGTTCAGCACGCCGAAGCGACGCGCCCGTGCGCAGACGCGCAGGGGACGCGCTCGGACGGGGCTAGGACGAGGGTAAATCCGTTCCAGAGCGTCTCGGAACGCTCTCAGAGCGTTCTGTAACTCTCTGAGATGACTGCGGCGCCCGAGACATCCTCCAGAGCCGCCGGATATCAAAGATTCCGGAGGTACCCTCACCCGAAGCTGTCCTCATCCTGGCCTCGTCTTGCAGGTGCGTAGAGGGCCGCCCACTTTGAGGAGGGGAAGAAACATACAGACACAAGCAATCGTCGACTCCCAGGGATGTATGCGAAAATATGGGGAGTGGGGGGGGAGACAGAAACCCAGGAAACATGGGGAAATGTGGGGAGTCTTGTTATCTATGTGCATATATATATATATATATATATGTGTGTGTGTGTGTGTGTGTGTGTGTGTGGTGTGTGTGTGTGTGTGTGTGTCCCAGGGCCCCTTGGCCCTTGCACCTCCGCGCTTCCTTCCTCCCCCTCTTGCGCTCCCTGTGCGGACCGCCCCTGCTCCAGGAAAGGGGAAGGGCCCGCCGCTGCCCAGAGCGCGCCTCCGCCCGCGGAAGCCTCGCGGCCAGCGCCGGGTGGGCGGTTGCCCGTTTCTCTCGGAGACGTCGACCTCCTCCCCCTCCTCCTCCTGCTCCTCCTGCTCCTCCTCCACCTCCTCCTCCTATTCCTCCTCATCCTCCTCCTCCTCCTCCTCCTCCTCCTATTCCTCCTCCTCCCCCCCCCTCTTCCTGGCGGGGGCGCCAACCGCCGGTCCCAGGCCTCGCCGGCCCCAGGCCGACCCTTGCAGTGGCAGTGGATAGAACTCCTACCCTGACACGTCGATTAAGGAATTGGCCGTTTTCGGTCCGCGAGAGGGCGTCGCGGCCGTCATTTTTGCGGGTCCAGGTCCGTCGGTTTCGGTCCCAGGCCGTTTTCACTGAGGGGAGGTTTACTAAAGGGAGGTTTGTCCATCACCGATGCTCGCCCTTGCTGCCAAGGCACACGAAAGTCGCACCAGTC